CAAGGAGGGTCAAAGTCAGCCATCCACGTTTCGTCAGAAGCGGCCGCGGCCTGGATTAAACCTCAGCTGGTCGAAAAGCTTGTTGCGCATGGCCTTTTGGGGTTTTGGCAAATGCTAATATATGGGAGACTCGTTACTAAGAACAACCACCCCGTATTTATAAATAATTCTGCGTCTGACGGGGTTATGCCTCAAGTCTCCAGACTCTGCAAGGTGGTCATGTCTGTAATTACCTGTTCCTGAAGCGAAAACTAACGAGCCACCCTCGCTTGCACTGAACCGCGGGATTTTGCCCTTGCGAGTTCATGATTCTTTCTTTCTTTCTTTCTTTTTTTTTGGGCTGGGTTAACCGCGGTTCTGAGAAAAACTAGAGTGGAGTTGGGTTGAGGGGAAGGAAGGATGAAGGGAAAATGAAGAGATGTTTTGACACAAACTGAGTCAGAACGTGCATCGGGCGTGATATCCCAAGTCCATGGAAGATTTTATGGGCCACTTTCATCCAGGTTCCCAGCAGTCGACAGCGTGTGACCTCGTGCAGGCTCCCCAAAGGAGGACAGTGCCTCTTTGAATCCTTCTGAGCCCGCACAAAGTCACCCTCACATGGTGCATACGGCGATGGACTGCGCAATCTTGAGGGAAAGGGAACAGGGTCACCTTAATGACACTCTGACTGGGGTGCTTTCACTCGGTATCGGAGTATATTCCTCGTTCGTCACGAACAGACCGAACCGTTGTCCGGAATAAATAGATCTATATATGATCTTGAGTCTCACCTTCCAGGCAATCTATACTTCATCCCCCATAGTTGTTTCTGCAGCCCTCTCAGATGTACAGTGTGAGGGGAGGAAGGGAAAAAGAAGCAGCTAAAACGGTTGTTAGTCTGCCGGAGAATTTCTTTAGTGTTTTGTAATTAACCAGATCCCTGACCTATAGCAAGGATGGATGTACGGGAGCACTTAATTTGTGATTAAGTCAGCCAACCCATACATACCAGGACAAGGAGACTATTTACTCCATTCGTAGTAGAAGCGGACACACAGACCTCTATGGAGGACAGCTTTTTAAACACCCATGCAGGATGCTCCAACCTGACATCCTAACACTAACACTCCTCCGTACACATCCCTCCATCCTGCGGCCGTGTCGGTGCAAACCAAAAAAAAAAAAAAAAAGGAGAAGAAGTGGTGTGCAATCCCAGTCCCACACTCGGCAGTTGGATGCAACTTCATACGGAGCTTGGTTTAAAAACGACAGATTGCAGTGTAAAGGACCTTCTGTCGATGCATGCTCGTTCAATCTTTTTTTGGTTGGTGGAAAGAGTGTAACGCTAAGCCCCAGATTTATTCTTCCCTTGATGTTTCTTGTTCTTCTCGTTTCTTTTTCTTCTCTCCTGTTCCCTTTCTTCTCATTTCTTTTTCTCCTGAGCGTTTTCCTTTTTCCTCTCTTCTCCGTCCTGTCGGCGGAGGACCGATGGCCAGCGAAAGGAGGGATGATCCACGACGAGCAGCAGCTCGGCCAGGCCAGAGTGGAAATAATTAACGGGAATTAGTTTAATCCCGGGAAAGACAAGCCCGCAGGAAGTATACTTTATGGGCTGTATCGAGCTTGTAACACTGGGGTCGCAGCCCAGGGTGCATGGACTTGGCCTGGTTCCTGGTTGGTCTGCTGCATCGATCGCTCGCTGGGCGGGGAGTACATCGGGGACCATCCTCCCCGACATCAGGTTATTGTTCGTAGTCTCCTGGACCGCGCAAATGCAGTGCCTGAAGGCGATGCATGCGAGGGCCTGCCTGGTCGTCGTGGAAAAGCAGAGATGAGGTTGAGGTTGGAAAAGGCCGAAAAGCTGCGTGGAGTCGCCCAAAAGGGGGCTAGCACGTCACGGGGCCTGTCACGAGACCAGGAGCGGGTTATAGTTCCTCCGCACCTCGTGACCTGTCCCGTGACCGCTCTAACCCGAAAAAGAAAACAAAAACAACCTCCCGGCTCTCTTTTTTCCTTAGTCATTACTTTTTGCTTCCAACCTCAACCTCCATCCTGCAGCGAGTTTGTTACATTCACGCTTCTTTTTTTTTTTTCCTTTTCCCCTTTTTTCTCCAGCGCTGGTTGGGCGTTGTTGGTTACGCTAGCGGACGTACTAGTACGGCGTATACTGCGGTTGTAAATAATACACCAGAGGTGAGGTGAGTTCTCCTCTTCCCCCGCTGGCGCGTTGCTGGAATCAAAAGGCACCAGCAGCCCTGAGCTCTCAAGGGAGGGGACCACTACCAGATGTCCGAGTACCCCTGGTTGCATATAAATACTTTCCAGCCACGAGTTGATGCTAATTCCAACCCCTTGCTAGACTCCTTTTTTGGCTTCTAAAATTGATTAGCCAGGGCTGACTTGGACAGGGATCCTCAAACTGAGATCTAAACCGCTGTCTTTCGAAGAAGCGCTTCGCACAGTCGATTCCAACGTCAGCGAAAGCAAATAGGCCAAAAGAAATATTAAACGGCGGGCAAGGTTGTGCCGTCTGCGGAAGGTACAGAAGTGACAAAACCAGAGTCTTTTGAACAGCAACATCTCACTCATCGATCCGTACTCCGTATTTTGACCTGGGAATCATCAAATCACGGAAGAAAAGAAAGAGAGAAAAAGCAAACAGGAAAAATAAAAAAGAGAGAGAGAAACGAAGTCAAAAAAAGTATATCAGTGAAGTTATTGAGAGAAAGCAAGACTGGCAGGACTCCACATATAGGTTGTCCACACACTCACATCGTACTTCTCGAACCCTCCTTCGCAAACCCTGGCTTGGTTCTCGGTCACCTTTTTTTACGCTCCAAAGGTGGAGAACGACCTTTCCCCCATCGGCATACTGCGGTATCCGGAACCTCTCGCCTCCTCCCCCCTTCCCCAAGGCAAAAGGGAGAACAAAAAAAGAATTAAAGTACAAAAAGGAGGAGAAGGACAATTTCCTTTTTTGGCCTACGGAGTATCAGACAAGCTGGACGTGGCATCGTATTTCCCTGGCATATCTCGAGTTTCTGCTGTTCAGACCTCACTTCGGCCTCCAGCGGCTGCGTCTACTAACCAGAAACTGGATCAAAGCAACGGCGACATATTGATCCGATTACTTCGAGAAGAGAGGAATCCCTGATTGGATGATCCAGGCACAAGTGTTCTTTTGATATTTCGCTTGTGATTGCGCCCTCACCGAAGGAAGGCCGCCTGAGAGAGGCCGAATTATAAAATTACGTCCCCACAGCCAACCAGACGATCCACACGCCTTTTAACTTCTTCTTCTTCTTTTTTTTTTTTTTTTTTTTGCAAGGAAGGACAGCAGCATTATCTTCCTGCTTTTGACCTTCGACCAGTTGGTATCTGTACCGCAAGCCGCCAAAACGCCATCTTGACGCCAGTATCAGTTTCCTTCAGCTCAACTATCAGGTGCTGCATCGATTAAGTATCGGTACTCCATACAGTTCTCTTTCTCACTCTACAGCCTCCCTTCTTCTTTACTTAATCTCCGTGATTAGGTTCACATAAGCAAGAACGTGACAGCGAAGACAAGAGAAGCAAAGAAACGGCCAATAGTGCTGCCACTCCTTTTTTGCTCATCCATCATCTTTTGACTCCATCCTCAACCTTCCTTTCCACCTCTTTATCAGCCCGCAAGGAGATACAAAAAACAAAAAAAGGGCATTGGAAGAGATATAACTCTCCATCAAATCCATAATTTACCACCAACTCCTTGAGCGGTCCACTTGGCGGATCCCTATTATTTTTTCCCCCAAGCAATTGGGTCGTCGCCTCGGTGCAAAACCCAAACGGACAAGCCAGGCAAAAAGCAAAGAGATTGTCTTTTTTTCATTCGTTCCGACTCTCCCCAAAGGCCCACCCTTGATAGACGCTCCAAACTACCCTTTTAAACGGACAGCTGGGAGGTTTGGACTTTATTTTTTCTTTGGTCAAAAGCCGGCCGCCTTGCCACTGTCTCAGCACTACGACCACCACCGAAAAAAAAATCCCCCCTTCCTGTGCAGCTAGGAACATTCCAACCCTTCCTTTTTTAGTGTCGCATTTCCATCTCGAAACAGACGCTATTAATACTTCCTGGTTTCTTCTATTCCCATTGACTTTGGCGCTACTGCGAATCGATCACCAGGTGCTGTCAGCAACGAAATAGCACCACACGCTACCGTCTAGACGTCCCGATTGGAAATAAAGCCATACTCTCTTTGTACTGGTGTCCTTTTCCCAAGGGTCAATCTTTTTTTTTATTCCTTTTTTTATTTTTTTATTTTTTATTTTTATTTTTTTTTTTTTCGCTTGCGACCTGCTTAAACTTTTCCGGTTTCTCCCTGGTTCACGCGGCTTCTTCCCCCTAAAGTTGACGGACAACGGGCACTTAAGCACGCTATATTTGAGAAGTGCATATCCAAAAAAGCATACAGCGGATACACTCAGCAGCAAAGGAAAGGGAAAAAAAAAAAAAAGGAAGAAGAAGCCCCTTCTCCACGCGACCGTTCTTGACGAAAGCAACAATAAGGACCAAACCATCCTTCGTTCATCCCCCCAGCCCTTTTCGAACTACTTCTTAAATCCAACCCTAGTTCGTTTCCACGAGCAGTTCGGCGCGTCAAAGTCCATCTTTGTTTTTTTACTTCTTCGACTACTTTTCACCATCTGTTTACTCGACTTACCAACTACCCGCTAAGAACCCCCGAATTCTTAGCTTCCCCCTCGCCATCGCTGGACCGGTCTTTCTCAACGGAGCACACTACCAGGACAAGCTTCGAAACCTATCTTCTATCACTCTTTTCATTTGCCGTCTTTGCTCCTTTCGACAAATAAAACCATTGGCGCGCACCAACCTCTTCGGTCTTTGGCTCCTGCTTGTGACTACTACTGCTCCTACTTCCCCGGTTTGAGGTAAAACTCGTTGGAGGAGAGAGAGCCAGAACATAACACCAGGGGAAGCTTTGTTACCGTTGAACATAACGCGGCCGAAGCTATTTTATATGGACAGGCCTGCCTCCGACTACGCGCAGCCAGGTTTGAGCCCTCAATATCCAAGTCTCCCGGAGGCACAGTCTGAACAGTCAACCGCAGATCAGGCAACTGCTTCTGCTGCCGTCGCATCCCCTACCCAGACCGAAGCTCGTCGAACACCTCAGTCCCAGTACTCAGCGCCTCCAGAACCTCGATCGGGCGGTATCTCGGCCTCGAATACCCCCCAACCAGACTACAACTTGCATCAGAACTCTTCCCATCCACCACCGCCTCCGGCCGCCGCGCGCCCGTCTCCGTACCCTGAATACCTGACGCGCCAGCCTCAGTACCACCACGCTCCTCATACTCAAGCCGGCGGGCCGCCAGGTATGGCTCAAGCAACAAGTCCGTCCATGAACCCGCAAGATGGGCAACAGAGTGACCATCGAAGTCCCGCGCAAGTAAAGTCTGACACCGAGGTTCCTATAGATCCCTCGATTGCAGCCTCGAGTCCGTCCTATCCTCCACCATATTCTCCTTACGCTCCTCAAAGTCACGACATGGCGCAATATCAGAGTCACCCTCCGCAGATGTACGCGCGACCAGACTGGCCACACCAGTATGGCGCTCATCAACCTGGAATGCCAGGCCCTTATAGTTCCCCGGCTTCGGTGAGTTCAGCTTCCCCCGCTGCCACCGCTGGGCCACGACCTGGACAGGTACGGATCCTTCCATTTTAATGTTTCCTCTCCTCCCTTTCTTCTCTTTTCTTTAGAGGGCAAGTTTCTTATGCCTTATGACCACCAGTGGACTGAACAGGCCATCTGATGTGTTTTTTTCTTCTTTGTCTTGCATTAGACTCATTATAGATCCCAGGTTTTCTCTTTTGTGCCTATCCCTGGCTCTCAACAACACAAGCGGCCTCGACGACGATATGAAGAGATTGAGCGGATGTACAAGTGCGGCTGGAATGGTTGTGAAAAGGCCTATGGCACACTAAATCATCTCAATGCACATGTCACAATGCAGTCACACGGCGCTAAGAGATCTCCAGATGGTTTGTATTCCCTTTTTATTCTCCTATCCTTGTGTCTTATAGAGGCTACTCTATATTTTCCTTGCCATCTCCCTGCCATCTACCCCCTTGCATCCCTTAGCCTGTGTAACAGAAGCTTGGGTCGCTGCTCGAAGCCTGCATCTTGGTGGAGTGTGCAGTAGCGTCTGAACCAACCCCAAAGCTTAAGCAGCTACCCTTCACTATGCCAAGACTGTGCTAAAGCTAGTACCAACTTTCACTTTTGGCATCTTCTACCTCACGTCTAACTAGTTATTGTTATTTGACTAACGAGCTGTTGATACTTTATAGAATTCAAAGAGATCCGCAAGGAATGGAAAGCCCGCAAGAAAGAGGAAGATAATCAGCGCAAGGCCGCCGAGGAGAGAGAACGGGCTGCAGCCCAAGCCAACCAGGTTGATAGCAATGGCGCTCCGAGTGGTAGCGGCCAGCCCAGCCAGCCAACTACCTCCTACGCTGCCGGTGTTCGGCCTCAGCTGCCGCCAATAGGCTATCAGCCAGCAGATGGTCAAGTGCCAGGTCAGTATGGTGCTCCTCCTGGTGGTTTGGTCTATCCGCCTGGCAATGGCCAGATGCCTGCTACCTACTCTCCAAGTTACCCCCATTCTCCTTATGGTCAGGGCAGCCAGGTCTACCCACAACCACCGCGTGAGTGATATCACGACCCTGTTTTTCTACATTTCTTTGTTATCTACCTCTTCCCCATTCTCCTACATACTTTTTTAATTCCCCCCTACCCTCATGTTTATCCTCGTTACTTGCCGGTTGTCTACCCTTGCCCAAGCTACAGATTGTTGGTCGTACATTCAACCCCTATTCCTCGTATTCTCACAGCCCCGGTGAGATCTGGCAACCAAGAAAGTTAACTGGGCAACGTTCACCTTACTTATCATGCCCTGTTGTCTTCTTGGAAAGCGAAGTTAACACCAAGAGGCAATTCAAAGCAAGAAGCTGATCCAACTCATCTAATTGGCGATGCTGAACGCTAACATGATCATCCCAGAGAACCAGTCCAACAACTATCCATAAATTAATCTAATCAAGACTGCGGAATAGCCCCCTCCCACCACTCCCCCTTTTTTTGACCCTACACTTTACGCTATAAAAAAACACTTTCTCCCACTCGTCTGTTGATGCTCCAATTACTTTAATTGCGTTTATCCACGGCCCTACCCTCTCCCCTATGCCCCTTCTCCCCTGTGCCCGGCAAATTTTTTATCTTACATAAATTTTTATCCCCAGCAATGGCTTGTTACCACCCTAGTTTTTGCTTTCTTATTTTACACGCCGTCGCCCAACCCAACATCCTGGATGAAGAAAGGGGAGAGAAATAACTAGCTAATCCTAATATGTTTGCTGGGAGCCGGGGCCTCCCACTTACATTTCTCCTCATTCCTCTTCTACACTTCCCTCCCAGAATATTTCATTACCATGCCGCCCCTTTCAACTAACCCGGTGGCCCTATTATGTCTCTATTACAACTCTTGATATCCATCTCGCCTTTCATCTCATCTCTTTGGTCGTCTTTTCTTGCATTTCTTTACTGTCTTTGTTTCTGCACTTAAACCCATCTCAAATCAAATAGAGGAGGATCTCTTCGCCCTGTATGAGGAACCAGTGAAGCGAAAGGGAAACGGAGGAAAACATAACACAAAACAAACACATGACAGTCCCGTATAAAGGGGGAAAAGGAACATGAACTCAAGGCCTTTTTTTAATACTCACGAGCAAATGGAATGAAACCGATATACCTTGGTAACAACTCTAGAGGCAAACGGTGGCGGTGGGCGGCGGTCAGAAGGCGTAACGTTCTTTTTTTGTCTTTATTCCTCAAATTCTCTTGCTTCTTGCGTTCTTTTGATTTCCTGCCAGGGGTTGCTGGTTGTTGGTTGGGTGGTTTGAGGCGGTTTTTGCATGGTTCTGAAGCCTTTTCTCTACCCTTGGTTACTTGCTTGTTGCTTGCTGTTGTTGCTGCTTTTAATATGTTTATTACCTCCCTATTTGAGTCTCCTTTTGTTTGATGCTAGTTTAGCTCTTCCAGCTGTTTTTATTTAAAATGTATTCTCTCTTCGCCGTCTCTTTCCTCTCGATAATGTATTCCGTTCAGTAGAGTCGGCAATCACTTTGCTGCCAGAATTGGTAGACCTGTCCTTGATTTGACAGGGGGGCTGTGTGGTGTAGTTCTCCCTGTACACCCAGACACCAACCAGTGTATAGTGTATATATTTCTCACCAGATAGTTATAGCTCCTATATGTTTCGGAGGCGGCAACAAGTAACATCGGCTTTTCTTCTTTATTCGGTTTGGTATGTGTTTGATGATGTCAAGCTGGCGCTAGTTATGCCGAGCACAGGGTTTAGTTAACTTATCCAAGTAAAATAAATAACTATCCATCGTCGCTTCTACCAAGGCGGGCAGTTCAATAACCAACATTGCGGGGAACAAATATGGGACTGAAGCGTGTCCTCGTCATCGCAGGCTCGGACAGCTCGGGAGGGGCGTAAGTATCGGCGCCATTCATAGACAGAAGCGTTGATTGATGTTAATCACCGAATAGTGGCCTGGAGGCTGACCAGCGAGTTCTTGCTGCCCATGGCTGTTATGCACTCACTGCAACGACGGCATTAACCGCGCAGAACACCCTTGGGGTCCAGGATGTCCATGTTGTGCCGACAGAGTTCGTAAGAAAGCAGATTAAAGCCGGCCTAGAGGATGTTGGGGCCGATGGGGTTAAGATAGGTGCGTTGGCAAGGTCCCATCGTCTCATACTTCTCTGCCTTGATATCAAGATGTGACAACTATTAGCCGAGTACTAAAAATATATGTGTATCCAGGAATGCTGGCTTCTGCTGAAACAGCGGTAATGGTGGCGGAAGAATTGAAAGCTCATGAAGTGCATTCAATCACATTAGACCCCGTATGTCCATTGACCTAACGCGGGAGAAAGACTGTTAGGGTCTAATTGTTTACATGAAGGTTATGATATCTACCAGCGGTTCACAACTGCTGCCACAAAATGCAGTTAAAGCAGTGCGAGAACATCTGCTGCCATATACCACCGTCCTAACCCCGAATATCCCAGAGGCAGTTCTTCTGCTTCGAGATTCCGGTGTGGACGTGAAGGAGCCAGAGAATCTACATGATGCAATCGCTCTCGCAAAACAGGTCCATAAACTTGGTCCCAGGCATATACTGTTGAAGGGCGGTCATCTCCCTCTGAACGCCCAGCGAGAGAAGCCTACGGCGGATGCAGATGCGGCCATTGTTATTGATATACTATACGACGGCAAGACAGTGACTTTAGTCGAAGCTACCTTTTCAAGGTCTAAGAACACCCATGGTACCGGGTGTTCCCTTGCATCTGCGATTGCAGCTAATCTTGCTAGAGAAATGGAAATCACACGGGCAGTGAGGGAAGCATGTCGATATGTTGAAGCTGGGATTAACACCAGTATTGATTTGGGAAAGGGAAATGGACCCATTAACCATTTTCATTCCCTCTACTCACTGCCTTATGCACCGTAAGTGGTAATAACACTGTGGGAGTTTATGTCCTTGCTACTAACACATTATGAAAGTGGGCATTTTATAGATTACATCCTGGAGCGGCCAGATGTTCAGCCAGTATGGAAAGCTTTCACTGAGCATGAATTTGTGCAGAAGCTTTCCATCGGGGCGCTTCCTGTTGAGAATTTCAAATGGTACCTTGTTCAAGACTATTTATATCTGGTATGTGGTACGCCAACTGGGAGGCTTGATATATAGCACATTCTAACACCGGCAACAGGTAAATTTTGCACGAAGCAATGCACTGGCTGCCTATAAAAGCCATACTATCGATACAATTGCCATGGTAAGGAACCATACTTCAGATGAAGGAGCTCATCCGCTGATTTTGTCCTAGTCTGCCCAAATTGTCCTCCATATCCAGCATGAGATGAAACTGCATCTCGACTACTGCGCCTCATTTGGTCTATCAAAAGAGGACATTGAAAGTTCAAAAGAGAGCTTGAGTGAGTCCTCTACCAACCGATGGCCCCTCGTCTGGGATGACTATTGACCGTTTAATTAGCGTGCACGGCCTACAGTCGGTATATCCTTGATATAGGCCAATCGGGTGACTGGCTTGCCCTTCAATTTGCACTTGCTCCTTGCCTCCTCGGCTATGGTGCAATAGCACAGCGGCTCTTCCATGCTGAAGAAAGCGTTCGAGAAGGCAATAACTACTGGAAATGGATTGAAAATTATGTTGCAGATGATTACTCTGCAGCCGTCAAGCTAGGCTCAGGTGAGAACTTCTACATACATACCATCTTTACATGTTTCTGTTAAAGCACCTCTAACTGGCTTACTCTGGTAGCCACACTCGAGAAGCATTCAAGACACATATCGCCTTCCCGTGTGGAAGAACTGGTCCGGATTTTTATCCGAGCCACGGAGCTTGAGATAGGATTCTGGGATATGGGTTTGCGGGGGGAGTAGCTGGGCTCAAAATACTGCTTATTCTGCCCCGCATGGCAGCCCTGACACAGAGAATATAGATACAAGATACAAAGTATATAAATCACCCCAAAAGGGCAGATTACTCGTTAAATAAAAGAAACACCAGCCAGGTATCATCGCAGTGTTAATGAATGCTGCTAGGTATCTCTTTTGCCTCCGATTTCTATGCCGAAGTGCTTACTAAGTAGAATTATGTAATAGATTACACGTGACCATGACATAAGCAGAAAACTCAGTTTGACTTTTGAAAAGAAAAAATTCAAACGAAAAAAAAAAAAAAAAACTCAGAAACTTTTTTTCCGCTTCGAAATATTTATTTCAACGCCGCGCCTCAACTTCATCTCATCAACAACCAACGCCCCAACTCGCCAAACTTCTTTCACATCCATATTCTCCTTCTGATCTATTCCGGAGAAAAAGGCTGTGACTGTTACTCTTCATTTTTCCGATCTACTCCTCCTTTGAATCCTTTGATCATGTCTTACGGCGGTGGCGGTTACAGAGACCACCAGGGTGGTGGAGGTGGTTACAACTCCAGGTAAGCATAAGCTGGTCTATTTCTGAAGTGTCTGTCAGTCGCTCGCTGGACAGAGGGACCGTTCGGGGGTGGTGACAGAATCTCTCGACTCAGTTCTTCGCGGAGCAAGGAGGAGGGAGCCTCGTTCTAAGACGTCCACTAACTCATTCAAGATACAGGGGTGGCGGCGGTTATCAAGGTGGGAGCAGCGGATACTCCAACGGACACTCCAGCGGCCCCAGCTATGGAGGCGGCTTTGGAGGCGGCTATGGAGGTGGTGCCGGCGGTGACAGAATGTCAAACCTCGGGGCTGGCTTGAAGACTCAACAATGGGGTATGTCTGCCTATTATGGGGAACGTTATCATCTTCTTGGAAAATGTTATCACTAACCTGCTTATTTCTAGATCTCAGCTCCATGCCCAAGTTTGAAAAATCCTTCTACAAGGAACACCCAGATGTTTCGGCCCGAAGCACCCAGGAAGTTGAGGCTTTCCGAAAAGAGAATGAAATGACTGTCTACGGAAAGGATGTTCCGCGCCCCGTTCAGACCTTTGACGAGGCTGGTTTCCCACAATACGTCATGTCTGAGGTGAAAGCCCAAGGGTTTGCCAAACCAACTCCGATTCAGTCTCAAGGCTGGCCCATGGCCCTCTCTGGACGTGATGTTGTCGGTATTGCAGAGACTGGTTCCGGAAAGACTTTGACCTATTGTCTGCCGGCTATCGTGCACATCAACGCACAGCCTCTCCTTGCCCCTGGTGACGGCCCTATCGTCCTGGTTCTCGCGCCAACTAGAGAATTAGCTGTCCAGATCCAGGCTGAAATTACCAAATTTGGAAAGTCCTCCCGTATTCGGAACACTTGTGTCTACGGTGGTGTCCCTAGAGGCCCGCAAATACGTGACCTGACACGAGGCGTCGAAGTTTGCATTGCTACGCCTGGTCGTCTTATCGATATGCTCGAGTCTGGAAGAACTAACCTTCGAAGAGTTACCTACCTTGTCCTCGACGAGGCTGACCGCATGTTGGACATGGGTTTCGAGCCTCAAATCCGTAAAATTATCAGCCAGATTCGCCCCGATCGTCAGACTTGCATGTGGTCTGCTACTTGGCCTAAGGATGTCCGCCAGCTGGCTAACGACTTCCTTCAAGATTACATCCAGGTGTACATTGGATCTCAAGACTTGTCTGCTAATCATAGAATTACCCAAATCGTTGAGGTCGTATCAGAGTTTGAGAAGCGCGATCGAATGATAAAACATCTCGAACGCATTATGGAAGATAAGAAATCGAAGGTCCTTATCTTCACAGGTACAAAGCGTGTCGCCGACGATATCACCCGATTCCTCCGTCAAGACGGCTGGCCAGCGCTATGTAAGTTATTAACCATGTTCACCTTGTTTTCTTTTATGAACCTGAATCATTTACTAACATATGCGGGTTTAGCTATTCACGGTGATAAGCAACAGAATGAACGTGACTGGGTATTGAACGAATTCAAGACCGGCAAGAGCCCGATCATGGTGGCTACAGATGTAGCTTCGCGTGGTATTGGTATGATAAATCTGCAACCCCCCTTCCTCCCCTTCTCCAAACCCATTTCCATCATGTCATAGACATTGCTCTATCTCGAGCCAATGCTGTTGACATGTCACCCATCTTGATGTCGTGTGATCGACTCAAATGCTTTGCTCTCATAACATGTTGGTAAACATGACTACTTGGGCCTTCCTTATGGTTTCCCTACCCAAGGAATCCTTGGCTTTAGGATGCAGTGTAGCATGCCGTGCTTCTGATTATGCCTCTCCAATCTGTTAATCCACGCCAGGAGAGAGGCAGAGTTCTATTGTCTGAACTTTTCAAACTGCGTTTCTAAGTTTATCCAGGACCAAGAGTAACTGTCAAACCCATGGACTCGTAAACAGGTGGATTCTGAAATCAGTCCGAGAGAGTTATGCATCGAGTCCCACACGACGGAGAAAAGGGCCATGGCCATTTGATTCTCTCGTCTATCTTTAATGTCTGCTAACCCCAGTGTTGTGAAGATGTTCGCGATATCACTCATGTGCTTAACCATGATTATCCGAATAACTCGGAAGACTATGTCCACCGTATCGGCCGTACTGGCCGTGCTGGTGCCAACGGTACCGCCATCACCCTGTTCACCACTGAGAGTACGTATACTTCTTATCTCCTATTTCCATATTCATCCCCATAATAATGATATGATACTAACTGTCACTTAGATGCTAAACAAGCCCGTGACTTGGTTAAAATTCTCACCGAGTCCAAGCAGCAGATTGACCCCCGTCTTGCTGAAATGGCTCGTTACGGTGGTGGCGGTGGTGGCGGCCGTTACGGTGGCCGTGGCCGTGGCCGTGGTGGCTTCACTGCCTCTAACTCTGCTCCTCTTGGAAACCATCGACGATGGTAAATCACGTAGTACTGCCTGAACAGCTTTCAATCTTTCGATTCAACTGTATTGAGGATAACTGTCTACCTCAATATGTCGATACCTCTCAAATTACCGTCCTAAGGACCAAAAACCGTCATCGCGATTCCGCACGATAGACAGTAATGTCACCTTCGGCTCAATTTCCTTATTCCCTTTAACCCTTGCTTTTCTCTCTACGTTCGAACTAAAAACACAACTGGGCCATCCGAATACCTAGATTTCCTCCTGCTTGTTCAACTTTTATTTCTTTGCTTTCATATGTTCCGAGGCTTATACAGGTCTTCCGCTTTTAAATTACGGGCGACGGGAAGTTTTGTTGCTGCTTTATGGTTTAAAATTCTTCCCCCAGATTGACTGCATACCCATGGATTGTACTTCGACCACGGAAGGGTTGAAGGTATATCTGTATTTTATTAATCTTACGTTTAGACATTAAAAGTCAAATAATTAACAGTTCATTGATATTTACTCTCAGTCTTCATTAGACTTATTCGATGGTTATCAACACTGTAGTTCTAAATAAGGCTAGTTAATAATGCGGCTCAAACAGGTCTGAAAATTGATATTGACACAAAGCCCAAGTCTATCAAGTGATCTAGGAAATGTTTTTATCATCTTTCTTGAATGGTGGGTAACTTTAATGACAGTAAAGAAATCATTATATATATTAATACAACTAAACGAAGCGGGTATCCGTCGACATGTATCCGAAGAGTGAAGGGTATCTTGCCTGAAAACACAGTCCGCATTCCGATATTGACCACTTAAATGGTTGTATTAAACGCCATGATTGCGGTCAGATTCAACATCATTGTCAATTACTTCTCGGCTTGTAAACTGCTTGAAGTAAGGGGCAAACATAGACAACCTCTCGCAATCTTTGGTGAGCCAATCTCGATCTGAGTCTGAGAGGAAGGATGGCACCGAAGAGCTTTCAGGAGAGGACTCGGATGCTGATAGCATAGATCGAGGGTTAAGGATTCTCCTGTATAGAGAAATGGACTGCCACAAAACTCTAAGCAACTCAATGCGGTTGGGACCTTCTAAAGCTTTGCCTGGTGCAACAGAAGACTGGACTTTGAGTTTTCTCAGTGCTTTTTGTACAGTGACGTCTTTTTCTGCATCGTCTGGTCCTGCATTCTGTGCAGTGGTCAGTTCTCTTCCATTACCCTGAGATGAACCAACAAAGCCCGGGTCTACGGGCATTCTTTGGTATCTAATGTAGCCGAATGCAAGTAGCTCGATGGCATCCTGAGTACGCAACCTTAGATGGGTAAGGGCTTTGAGAAGGCGTGTTTGGTGTAACTCAGCAGGTGCAGTTGTCGGGCTATCAAGAGAATGTTTTAGTCGAATCTTGTTTATATTAGCTGAGTCTGAAATGAGTTTCTCCTGGTTAACAAGAGCCCGGACAAGCTCTATATATCTCAGTATGTAGCTTGGGTCCAGTTCTGGGGCAAAAGAAGAAATATCCAGAAGTCTGTTTGCAATGTCTAGAACATTTGGGTTGTTCCTGTCGCGGGAACAAGTGCTGAGAGCGATGGTAATGGTCTTTCCGGCGACTAAATTTTCGGGAACCATGTGGTTCTCGACCACTTTTAGAGACTCAGCGCTGGCTCTATGGTGGCGGAGAAGACGAAGGTATTCATGACAAGAACTAGAGTCAGGTTTGACATTGTGACCACCATTGTCAGTAGTAAGAGTGGTCCAATAATGCCGACCGTTGGCCATTCCATTATGTGCCATATTTTGGCAAATTTGGATCAAGAGTGACAGCTCGATGTTAGTTGGAGATGGAAGATTAACACTGGGATTCTTTTTGGAGCCGGCTTTTCCTTTCAGCGCCGTACGAATTTCCGCAAGGTCAACGGGATCGAATAGGTGTAGCAGCATTTTCCTTTCTTCCTCCCTCTGCCTCTTATCTTCCTTTGTTAATAGTTCATCGTTGTTTGATGTTTCTTCCTGTATGTTTTGAAGGCGTATAACTTCGGATTCAACAGCCGGTGGAACTGGAAGGCCCATACATTGCTTGTACAAGCGTAGAACATCCAAATATGACTTCTCAGTATTCTCTATTGTGAGTAGACGGGCCATTGAAGTTACCAGCTTTGAATCGAGTACCAAGTCTCCTTGCCGCCATTTGCCAATGATCTCACCCCACAGCTTCTTTCCGGATGAGACAGCTATCCTCATCCTTCTGGAGATTTCTTTGACTGCCCTTGGTCCTTTGTTAGGGTCTAAAGTATCGGTGAATTCCAGTACAGATGTTCGTATGGCGTTCAGAATTATGGTATATGTGACTGAATTCGGTGCACTTTCCCCATATTCCGGGATATCTCCTGCAAAGGCCCAGAGACTCTTCATATCGCGGTTGCGAGCGCACACGTTCAGTACGGCATTTATGTGTATGATATTAGGTTTAGACTCTGACTTGGAGTTTTTCAAGGATTCAAAAAGGTTGAGGGCGGTTTCAGACGAGTGCTTTGCCGAACCGGTCGCCAACCCCGACAGGAGTATTGTAAAAGTTTGCTCGTTTGGAGGCCGGCCTCTCTTTTTCATCTATAAATGGAGTAAGAACACGCCGTCAGTCACATCGTGGGGAGTTAATGGCGGAAAGCAGACTTACATCATTGAATAACCTGACTGCCTCCTTTCGACGCCCAGTTTTCATCTTGTGCTCTATCAATGTATTCCAAGAGACAATGCAGTCAATCTTTGCATTCTGCGAGGCCCAAACCAACAGCGTCGCTTTTTCCTCATGGCCAAGCTTGAGTAACTGGCTCACCCTTCGAGCTAATGCCACCCTGTCATACTTGATATATTGCATCTCCCTCTCGAACTCTGCTTGGCTCATTCTCTTTTTGGGCTGCCGTTTTATGTGCTCATCCTCTTCATCTTCATTCCCTTCGCCCTCTTCTTGGTCTTCCAAGTTCCTATCCTTCGCTGTTTCTATAGCTTCTCTTTGAGACTTCCGCTGCCATCGGTTCCTCTTCTCTATTGTTAGATAGCGGTCCTTGGTGCCCCATTGTGTTGTACCAGGGCTAACCCCTCTGGGCACACTGGAATCGCGTCCTTTCCAAGTACGCAAAGGGGTATAATGGCGGACAAAATAGCTAGGGTGCTGGGTTCGGGAGACTGCAGCAATGGTAGTTGCGCTTGTGGTGGAAATTAAGATAGTGCTCGCCCGCGAAGCACGAGTGCAACTGAGTTTGGTATTACCACAACGAAGCATTTAAAAAACAATGTAATTGCTATCCGTGAGTGAGTGTAAAAGATATAGACGCTTTCAATGTCAAATGCCTTTGATACCAAATCTTCGCTTTCTTCAAGAGATAAAAATAAACTTTTGGAAATTATTCTGCTGCTTCCCACCGCCTTTATGGATAAACTATATTCCTTGATTATATAATCAAACAAAAGCTTACATCAGCAAAATTTGGTGACGTCACTACAATTTGTAGTTATTGAATCTTCCTTAACCAAGTATATAGATGGAGTGTTAAATACCAAGGAAGGGCTAAGATAATAACATTATATTCTATTCCAATCAAAGAAAAACCAAATGGTTTATAATTTATATCTTAAAGAGAGGCAGTAGAAAGGAGCTAAAGGCAAAAACAAGTTTAAATTCCCAGAGAGTATTTGGGTATGAGGCTTGCTCGGGAACAAGTAGGTGCTTAAGAGACGGATTTAATTGTTCATAACGGCAGCCTAGAAGGATCCATCATTAGCGTACTGAGTAAGTAGAAATAAGGGTTACCAAGGAAATAGACGTACTCTTGCATCTTCATAAACTGGTACCAGGCCAGTCCAGTGTTCAAACTACAGGAAGCAATGTTGGTTAGCTTGCATATTAAAACTGCACACGTATTCAAGGGAGCTGTAACAGACCTGGTAGACTCCTTGGGCAACGAGAACTTCCAGCCCCTTGACAATTTTCCAACCGGCAGGTGATGCTAGCTGCGCAATAGCTGTCACATCAGGTTTATAAGCCATATCTAGTATAATGCATTCTTCAGAGCCCTCTTGAGCCTTCTTCATGATGAAGGTAATCAATTCTTGCAAAGGCTTGGCGATTTCCTGGTCACCGGGTATGGTGCTAATTGCTACCTTAGGAAAGGTTTGGACCGATTTGATGTCCTCAACAACCTGGACGTTGTATTCAGCTGGGAAGCTGGACGCCAGTTTAGTTAGGTTTGCAGGTGTCCTCCCAACAAGATAGATGGGGGAATATCCCATGCTATGAAGCGAGTAGACAGCCGCTCGAGCAGTTCCACCACTGCCAATGGTAAGGGCAGATTCTCCATTTTTCAAATATATTGCTCCAGCATCCTTTAAGCATCGGGCCATACCTTGCCAGTCGGTATTATATCCGACTAACTTCCGAGTTGCTTTACCCTCTTCAATGACAGGAACAATGGTATTTACGGCACCTATGATCTTGGCTTCAGGGGAAATTTCATCAAGTAGTTCCATGATGCGCTCCTTGAGTGGAATAGTCACTGAAGCACCGCCAAACTCTTCCGAGTAGATGAATTCCTTGACATCTTCGACGTTGTCTGTCTCTAAACGACCATATTCATGTGGGAAGCCGGCCTCGGCAAAGAGCGTGTTGTGCAAAGCAGGAGACCTTGAAGCGGAGATGGGTTTCCCAAAGAGAGCAAACTCCTTAGCATCCAGTTCACCCATGAGCGTGAGAGCTTGTCGAATTTCCTTCGCGGAGAGCTGTCCTGGTGCGGCCTTAAAGGGAAGAGCAGGATGTGAAACTGGGGTCATGAACCCGTTCAGTATACGGCTGAGGCGCCCTTTATTGCCCATATTGATAGCAATTATTGGGATGGGGTAGGACCTCTCTGCCCAAGCTTTGAATTGCTGAAGGGTCAGGTTATCGTCAAGAGATTTAGCAACGCCAATGAGTTTGATAACGTCGCCATATTGTAAAGCTTTGTTGTAGTATTGAATCCAGGATCCGTTAGACCACGAGAGCTGTCCATTGACATCGTGATGGGATGCAATGATTTTAGAAAATCCTTTTATCTCAGTCACTGCATGCAGTAGGTTATCTGGGAATGATATTTCTAGGTCAACGAATTCAGATCCCATACGAATGGCAAGCTTATATAACCCCAATGCCTCATCAACGGCACTGTCAGGGAACAAACCTCCCTGTGCTTTGGTGCGAATAGTGAAGATGAGTGGTAGAGACGCCTGGCTCCGGAGGAAGGATATTTGCTCCGCAACATAGCTGATAGAGGGGATAGCTGAAGTTGAAGAAGGGTCTTTGAGAAGATCAACTCTTAATTCGACGGCGTGAGATCCGAAGGAGGCTGCTTGGAGGATATTTCCACATGGTAGAAGGTCTGGAAGGGTTAGGGACACAAAAAAAGAATGGCTCCTCTTTTTCAACAGCTCAAGGTGATCTGTTTGGCCCATGACCACATTGAGAAATCTCGTGAAACCTTGCATTGCCGCATCCAGCTCGCTTGGCTTTGAGTGATGGCTATAATACTGGAGATTGCTGCATTCCTGATACCATGGTTCTCGACGAAGCCATACGCCCATCATGTCTTCAATGTAAGCAGGGCGAGACTTGTCCATCTCAAGATATTCAATAACCTTCTTGATGTTGCGCATGATAAGGAAGACGTTGCCTTTGGTTTTATGATAATTGATCAAGAGGTCGCGCGCTTCTTTAGTTTCAACAATGCCGCCGCCACAAGCAAAGACGTGCCCTACTGGTTTCTCAGCTATGACATGCTTAAGCAAAGCGAGTTCACAGTCTCGGAACCCTTCCCATCCTTTTTCCTTGATGATATCCGGAATATTTTTCCCTTCAATCCTCTCTAGCTCGGTGTCAAGGTCGATGAAGGTGCGATTAAGGGCCTTGGAGATACCATATCCACTAGTGGTCTTACCTGCACCACGCATGCCAATGAGGAATATAGATGCAGCAGACCTCGAAGATTTCCGATTTTCAACATTTCCTTTGATTATCTCCTTCCCATCCAGCGTCACTTTGAATGTTTGAGACAAAGTATCCCACCATGCGGGCCAAGTTTTTCCTACACATTCCTTCTCTAGAATCAGGGTGGGTTGGGAAGAGGCGGCCGACGCTAGTACACTGAAGCTCATAGCAACACGATGATCATCGTAACAATGGACTCCATTGAACGGTACCTTCAATGCCATACGGTCAATACCGTCAATTTCAATACCATCTTCGTGTTCTCTGCAAGTAACCCCGAACTTGGCAAGTTCGTCCTTCATTGCCTTGATGCGGTTGCACTCCTTAACTCGCTGATTTGCTATGCCATAGATACGGGTAGTATTACTGGACTTGTCTTTGGCAACGGCTGCAAGAACGGAAGCTGTTAAAAAAGCATCGGTCATTGGTTCCATGTCAACGTTAGCGATGGGCTTCAAGGCACCGTCTGTAGGTCCGGTAACGGTGGTGGAAGTGTCAGTCTGCTTAACATCACAGCCCATGGGACGCAATACATCAACGGCAAAACGAGCATCACCCTGGAGTGATTTCGATCCGATGTTAGGAATAGTACAAGTGGTTCCAGACATGGCAGCGATGGCGAGAGGATATGTTGCCGAGCTAGCATCACTCTCGATAACGTATTCGGGTGGATTCTTGTATTGACCTTGCTCAATGTGATAGGTATATTCTTCGGTCGTGGACTTTTCAACATTGATTCCAAAGGATTTCATCATAGCAGCCGTCATGGAGATGTAGGCCTCAGAAATGGGCTTTCCTCCAACAAGCTTGAGGGTGACCTTTTCCTTGGCGTACGGTGCACACATCAGTAAAGAAGAGACATACTGCGATGATACCTTAGCGGCGAGTTTTATCTCTCCGCCCTTGAAGCCGCCGCATGCAGGAACCTTGAGGGGAAGGCTTCCTTGTTGTTCGATGTATTCGATGGGTACCCCGTTAGCTTTGAGAGCATCAACCAAATCGCCAATCGGGCGTTGCTTCATTCTGGCATTACCTGTTAGGATATTGTGGGACACATCTGCCTTGTTATTGGAGAGGGTTGCGACGGTAGTCAAAAATCTTGATGCTGTGCCAGCATTGCCCAAGTATAACTCGTGGGAACTGGCATCTAGCTTACCGCCCTTTCCATTGACGACGAGAACCTCGCCCTCTTCCTCCCATGAAAAGGTGGCGGCGCCTAGTGCTTCTAGAGCATTAAGCATAACTTCTGTGTCGTCGGAGTGTAGAAGGTTTCTAATGCGGCAGGTTCCAGAGCCAAGGGCAGCTAAAACAAGCGCTCTGTTGGAAATACTCTTGGATCCAGGAGGAGTGCAAGTAACCTGGAGTGATTTTGGGATTCCGGGGTAAACTTCGACACTGGGTGCGAGAACGACTTTGAGCTGCTCGTTGGACACAACACTTGCCTTCTGTTCGTAGGTACGGCCAATGGCGGAAAGGAGAACAACCTTCTTCATCGGCCCGTCGTTCTTTTTATCGACAGCCATGAAGGCAATGAGCTTGTCAACAGGGCATTTCTTCCCTGCACTTAGACGTCGAATTCGGGCGTCCTTGAGAGATGTAGGCAGTCCATATCGCGTCAGACATTTGGCAAGACGAGCCACGGCGGCACCTTTAAGAACTCCCAGATAGCGAGCGAGTTCCACTTCCTTGATCATTCCGATGGAAACGCATTCTCCGTGAAGAACTTGTGGGGCGAGGATTGCCTCGATGGCGTGGCCGATAGAATGGCCAAAGTTAAGGAGATTCCGTAGCCCGCCTTCTCTTTCATCTTTGGATACTACATCCGCCTTGAATCGCGCTGAAGCTAAAATGGTTCTCTTAAGGATGTCCTGGATACCACTGAAACGAGAGCGTTCTGGGGTATTTTCAGTTTTGAGTGCTGCGGCAATGGCGTCTGCGTTTTCCTCTAGTTCTGCAAATGTCGCTTCACTTGAAATTGCGGCAGTCTTAGGGTAGTGTAAGCAAGTTAGGTTTCAAGGGTGAGGAGGCTGGAGCAAGCTAACTACTCACCTTGATGACTTCTGCCATTCCGTTCGTAAATTCCCGTTGTGGTAGTGTGTTCAAAAATTCCATATCCAAGTATATTTTCTCTGGCTGCCATATGGAGCCTATCAAATTCTTTCCATTCGGGGTATCAATAGCAGTTTTACCTCCAATTGAGGAGTCCACCATGGCCAGTAACGTAGTCGGCACTTGTACGAACCGAATGCCACGCATGTATGTCGCTGCAACGAAACCTGACAGGTCCCCAATCACCCCACCTCCGAGAGCAATTAGCACTGTGTCTCGACCACATGGCGGCTGGCAACTCAGCATCCAGTCCTCGATTTCTGCCTTGGTTTCACGGCCCTTTGACGACTCTCCTGGCGCGATCTTGTAAGTAAGCAGCCGGGGTTTCGGGGATTTTCCGGCTGCGGCTTCTTCGAAGGCCTTTTCAAATTCCGGAACGTACAAGGGGGCTATGTTCGTATCAGAGATGAGGATATACGTCGACGAGGAGAGCGTCTGAAGAAGATCTTTAGCAACATGGCGCCTCCAAATGCCAAAATCCGCGACTATGCTGTCACGGCCTAGGATCTGAATTGTTGTTGGCTCCATGGTGAAGGGCCCGACAGTTCTGAGGCGTGTGTGGGGAGCTATAGAGCAGGGGAGGGGCAAGCTCTCTCAGCCGGTCCTTGTGCTGGTAGTCGACAACGGTAAAACGAGTCCAACGTCGCGGATTAATTCATTCCAGGCCCGTAAGCAGTCAGCTTAGCACCGTCCTCAGAGTCGCGGCCGGCTTCAATTGAGATGGATGGTTGCCAGAGAGGAGGAGAGAAGACCGAAAATTGAGCGCAAGCTAAAGAAACTTAACTAGTTAGTTAAGCTCCCTGAGCTATGAGTAATATCTAGCCAGCCCCGACGATCGGAGGACCTCGACCTCTCGCAATATAATAATTCAACGGAAACAGCGAAGAAACAGCCGCCGCAGGCGTAATATTTGATTTTTCCAGATAGTCTCAAAATACAGCAAATTCACAAGCAAAAGAAAAAGTCGACGTCGTTAACTTTTTTTTTTTCCGGTTGAAGTCGAAAGAGGGTTTCTGCCATCATTCACCGCCTTCGGTCCGGTCTTGGTCGTTTTTCTAATAATAAATAATATCGAGAGAAGATAACAAAAAAGGCCGCGATGGGGACAGGATATAAAAAGAAAAAAAAAGCAAAGAAAAGAAAAAGGAGATAGATGGCGGGAGCGTTCTATATTCGTACAGCTATACGTAGACTAAGCGAGTTCAGCGCTTGCTTAATACCTGCCATACCCGTCACCTCGACCTCGACCACGCCCGGAGCCCCTGGAGCCGTAGTAGCCTCCTCCTCCCCTGCCATCATAGGATCCTCCTCCTCCTCCTCCGCCACGCCCATACCCGCTGCTTCCGCCGCGCTGGTAGTGAGCGCGGTCCTGGTAGGCGTTGCGAGGAGGGTGATTGTAAGCTGGGCCGTCGTGTTGGGCCCAGCTATGTGGAGGTGGTTGCTGGTAATGGCCCCCATATCCTCCGCCGTATCCGCCGCCGCCGCCGCCGCCGCCTCCCCGAGGGTACCCTCCCTGAGACCGGTATCGATCAGGGCCGTTGTACATATTTGGGGGCGCAGGATTGTACCCAGGTGGCCCTCCACCCATGTGTGGTGGGGGAATATAGCCTGGGGCTACATGTGCAGCAAAGGGGTTGGGGCGGTCGTTGCTGGCGTAGGATATCTGGCCTCCACCTCTTCCGCCTCCCCTGCCTCTACCACCGCGGCTAGAATGGAGTGGTGCTCCTCCGAATGACCGCCCAGAGTGTCGAGCTTTGTTTCTGGTGATCTCTAGATCTGCCTTGTCAAGAGCTGGCTCCTTGAACTTGACACCCCGAAGCAGCATGGATTTATGGGTATGCATGGACCTGGGCATTTCGTAGTAAACACTGTTTGTGTCGCAATGTGTTAGCAGACAGACAAATATATACGTAATACATATTAATGTAACCGGGGGCCAGATTTTTTACCTTATTGACCGATCCTCATCGAGTGCAGGGATATCGGCGCCATCCACCTCCAGGGATAGAGAACTATGGGGTAGGTATGATTCGTTCTTCTCGACTTTCCCACCTAATCCCTCGCTGATACGCATGTTCAATTTGAGCTTCGACGATACTTGCTTTTTGGAGTAGAAATTGGCTGTCAGAGATTCGTAAAGGGGGTGTTTTTCTGACAATAGTAGTACATCCTTCCCCATGGCATTGCGGGCTTGCTCTTCCTCCGACAACAGGTGATACCGCTTACCCATGGCTGCCAGTAGACGTTTCTCGTCGATAAATGGCAAAAGAGCAACTCCCTGCCATGCAAACTTTTTCCCGTTCAGGTCAACGGGGAAATCTTCGGGGTAAAAGTCGATAATCTCGCTGTTCTCATCAGACATGAGGTCCCGGAATACCTCTGGAATAGCATGGTTCGAAGCTGCAGGTAAGACACCCATCAGCTGTTCAAATGGCTTGAAAGGAGTCCCTTTTGTAAATTGCACATCCATTTCGCCAATGTCAACAAAGTCGGCGGCAAATGGCGCATAGTGGTACGGGTAGTACCAGGTCCAGGACGGACATCCCTGGAAATAATACAAAAGAACCCAACTCAGTCCTTCAACGTATGCCCGAGCTACCTTATGTCGGAAAGCGATATCTTTGGGGCTTACTCCGAATTTCTGTTCGTAATACCGGTCTGCATATCCATCTTCCCACAGCCGCACCGTATCCGGGGGCATTTCATCTTCTTTGGGCTTTGCCGGGACCTCAACTGTGTCTTCCTCTTCCTCATCCTCTTCTTCTGCTTCCGCTTCTGTATTTGAGTTTTCAAATACGTCCGACTTGCGTTTGCCAAGTTTTGAGCCGGGTATCCCTGAAGGTGCTGAGTCCTGAGCATTTGTAGTATCAACGCCGTCTTCTGCTGTGCCACCGGATAAAAGCTGGGCCTTGAGAGCGGCGGCAGCGCTTTTGTTTGCCATGTTAGCCTTGTAGACTGCGCCGCGGTTGACAACCATGGCGTGTGTCAGTTCTCTCTCAGCTCTCGATAATTCGCCTTTCCCAGGTACGACGAGAGGTGGAATATCTGGAACTGGTTCAGCACCGCGGGAGCCTCTTCGCTTCTTCCGAGCATGGTCGTTGTTATTGTTCCTGCGTTGACGGTCTTCCTCCTGGCGTCGTTTAGCATTTGCATTCCTTCTCTCCTCGGTCTGTCGCCGACGGCGGAAGATTGCGTCTTCCTGTTTGGCTAGCCCCTGTAAAATTAATTGTGCCTTTGCCAAATCAACCCGGCCATCCTTCGTTAGATAGCCACCCATTTGTGGGATATTATCACGCCAAATTGCAATGAGTGTATCTATGCCGTTCTCACGAATCTCCAACGACGGAAGATGAGGTAAGAAGTCGTTACCAACGAAGAAACACATGAATACCCAGTCATCCAAAGCTCTCTCGAGATCAAAAGGAAATGGTTGTTGAGGGACCTGCATTTCTACAGCCAGATATTCACGAAGTACGGAAACATGAAGCCAGATGAATGGTTTCAGGGGGTTTCCTTTTTGTTTTTCATCAAACTCCCCTCGCTTTTCTTTCGCCTTTCCTGTGCAGGCCTCTTCAACATGGCCGGCTTGCCCACATAGTTTGCAAGTTCTGGCTTTTGATTCCTGGAAAAAGACATCTTCGCGCAAAACTCGGAAGTGTGGCTCATGAGTGCCTAGCCCCAACATAATCAAATCGGCATCCTAAAAACTAGTCAGCGACTGCTTATGCTAGATGTGTAGAAGTATACGTTACTAACCAAGCCGTAAATGACATGCCGAGTATTGGGATCATACTCTGGACAAGCACGCTGAGAACGAATGAACTCCATAATTTTGTGTTCTCCCTCCCCTGGAACTGTGGCATCGGAGATAATGACTTTCAACTAATAAGAGCAATTAGTACACATCCAAGCAGGTTCAATGATGATGGACTCGACTAACCTTTTCCCAACCAGGGTCAGTGCTTAGCTTATATGCGACCCAATATCGCAGTGCAAGTGCAAGGATATCCATAAATGGTGTTCCTGGCGTGATGACATTGGTATCCCAAGTTTTTGTAATCACCTCTTCAGTAATTGTTACATCTTTCTTCCCACGTTTCTGCTTCTTGAGCAACTTTGCGAATTCCACTTTCTTTTCATCTTCAGCCTTTGCATCTTGCGCAGAACGGAATCGACGGGAGCGTTGCTGGTTCATTTTTGCACGCGGAGCGACGCCATCTAAAGTGAAAGAACCCAACATTAGTACCAAACATATAACAAAACGAATAGATGCTAGTGGGGAAAGAGAATGAAAGGCTGTAACTCCCCTTGGCGACTATGAACACATCATGCATATATAATGTAGCCGTCCGAGGGGAGACCTCTAGATTCCCCACAGCCGTAAGCCCGACATACCAACAGCAATCATTAGCACCTTTCTTGGCCGGACCATGTTCACCACCCTGTCTGTATATTTGAAGATTTCCAGCATCATCTCGCCCTCGTTTGCCGGTGGAGGTTTGCCCTCGGGATGCGTACATGGGTGGACGATACCATTCATGTCCAGATACAGGTTATCCATCTCCTCGCCATTTGGGTTCGGTTTGGTGATATCGACTGGTATTTCCTGCCCGTCTATCTCCTGCGGCTGTTCTTCAACGACGGCGGAAACAATCTTTGGGTACTTGGACGAAAGCCATCGGAAGAGGGCTGGAACACCCATCGCGACGTCGTGCCGGGAGCTATGCCGGCGGTAACGATGGGAAAAGAAAACCCAGTCTCTGTCTGCAATTTGCTTCCTTTGCGCTAAACGACTGATACCAATGATAAGGCTTTCCGAAGCGTGTGCACTCTTGGTTTGCCTCTCTTCTGTTCTGCCTCTGCGTCTTCTTGACGTCGCTTTCGGCTTTTTCAATGATTTAAGATCAAAAAAATATCGAATATTTTTCCGAAACCTAAATTATGACCACAGAGTTAAAATAGCTAGGCCACGTGATATCTGCATTACCTAAGGTATCTGGAGCAAAATAAACTACTTGCAGCGGATTTGAAGGTTGATATTGATATTGTTACTGGCCGCAGAGACAGCGAGAATAGAAGAGAGCCAGCGTTTGAGGGCGTGGGACTTGCTGCTGCCAGCTCCGAGTTTACTTTAGCCATTTCCTTGTCCCTACGTGAGCATGTGCGGCCCCATTGACCGGCGGTGATGGTGCTGTTTCGGTTCCATAACACACGATGTTTCGCATCCTCGAATCCCAAGCTCCCGCGCGGCAGACAGCGACTGACACGATAAATACGCTGAGCAGTCGGCTGCAGAGCTCTACGCTGCTGGAAGATCGCCGGGCAGCTATACTTGGGCTCCGGAGCTTCGCCAAGGGATATCCTGCGTCTGTTGCATCCGAGGCCCTGAGGCCACTGATCACTTCTCTCCGCAACGATGTTGAGGACGTTGATACGATCAAGCTGGTCCTGGAGACGTTGCTGATGCTTTTTTCTCCAGAGGAGAATAGTGTGGGTTGCATTGGCTGCCTCGCATTACTAAGTGGGAA